ATTTTAAAATAGAAAGGGATCTTTAACACAGATAACCGTTTCACCTATTAAAAGATATTTTTGTAGTTATAAAAATGAATATAAAAACAATTTAGTAACTGTCAAAGTTTACAGGAATTTTAAAATATCATTGTCTTTATGCATGAATGTGAAATAAATAATATATATCATGCTGCCAGCTGCCAGCTGCCTCTTGATTGTCCATCACATGCACCATTTATTTTTCTCATAAATTAACAGTTCCAGAAAAAAAATTGAGTGAGTCCTATAATATTTAGACTCTAAAAATGTTTAAGAGGATTAGATTGAGAATCATTCCCATCAATGACACGTCAGTTAGTTATTTTATTTGTAATAAGTTTTAGAAATTAAAAATGAAAAGAGAAAATATTATGTATAATTTGAATATTAATTAATTAATTGACGTTTATTGTACTTATGGCTCAAATATATTAAAATGGTGACTTTATTCGTTAGAAAATGAAGGTACAGGTACAGTTTAAATCCATAAGTTTAATTATTACTATAATTGTTATTTTTGTACTATTTATAAATGGGTTGATGTGTTAAATAAAATAATATTAAATTAAATCGATGTTTAATTAAGTGAACTTAATTTTGGATCGCTTCTGCCTTGTTTTTACTGTTCCTTTTATAGATGCTACATATATTTTTTTATTGAAGACAATTCTTTTCTTATTATATTAACTATTACAGATAATACTGACATTGATTTTAAGCCGTCGTCTAGCATAATCTTTTACTATATTCCCCCGGAAGGCATTTAAATAATTGACTTAATTTTTTTACCATAAATAATTTAAATATTAAAGTCTTGCTGTAGTCCTTAAATTTATTCTCATTATTTTAATTATTTGGATCATAATGAGTTTAAACTATTTTGATCCTTTGTAAAATAGTTTATGTGAAAAAAAAAGTCTATATTAATGAAAATGTTAAGTAAAATCAGTTGAAAATGAGTTTAAATTATTAAATAAGTAACTTTTAATAGTTGAAAAAACTAGACAAGATAGCCAACTAAAATGAAAAACTCGGTAAGACAACATAGTAGAGTGGAGAATTTGGTAAAACAGTAGTGAATAACTCGTCAACACAATCAAGTAGAGTGGATTACTCAACAATGTTACCAAGTAGCAAGAAAATCTCGGCAAAAGAGTTAAGTAGCATGGATAAATTGATTATACAACAGAGTAGCTAGAAGAAACAATGAAAGTTCTAATAATCACTATGTCGTGTTCGCTTTAAAGAGTTTACTGTTTATGAAGATGTGTGTGGATGAATTAGCGGGATTGCTTCCGTTCGCTTCAAGGTATTTGCGAAGAAATGAATGTGATGATTTGAAAATTGGTTTCTTGAATCCATTTTCACTGATAGCAAAGATTTGCAGGTATTTGTCCTCAATTATTCATTTACCCTTTTTTATAATAATAATAATAATAAATAATAATAATAATTAATTTTTATTTTTTTTCTTTATATAATAATTTTTACAATTATATATAATATTAATAATTACAATTTTATACTATTTTTACTACTAAGGGTATTTTGATAATCTTCAATTTTTATCAATTAAACAAATTTTTTATCTGTCACATCAATCAAATCTTACGCTAATTTTCACACTCTCATTTACTTCCAAATCCACTAAAATAAACAATACTTAATTCACCTCAAATTCATCCACTCATTCTTCCTCAATTCTTATCCCCTAAGTGAACACACCCTAAAACACATGGTAATCCAAAGATTTATAATACTAATATAAAATTTTAAAACTATTTACCATAATCTCAACCTAATTATAATTTTTTAAAATTGCATATAATTTTTTTAACTAATTATTTTGTAAAACTTAATCATATAATATCAATATCATTTATTATATACAGAATTAAAATTATTGTCATATTACATAGATTAAACATTTACAACAATATAACATAATTTTTAACTCTCACTAATAAAATTAAATACCAAAGATCTATCAATTACCTTATTATTTTCTACAATGTGTCATAACTTTTTTATTACACTTCATTAAATAATAATTTCACTATTTTATAACTTTTTCATATGAAAATTATGATTTTTTTCATATAACTTTTTTAAATTGAATATTTTGTAAAATCAATTAACAGCATTATACTATGATATAAATTGTAATATCAATTTCATTTATTATATTTAAAATATAAGCTATTGTCATATGACTTAAATTACCTACTTAAATATTTTATTGATAACAACTCAAACAACACAACATAATTTTTATCATATCTTTCGTTACACAATTACTTCATTACTTTATCATTTTAATATACAAAATAAAAAATTTATGAAAAAGTAAATAAAATAAAATAAATAACCCGTGGGTAGACACGGGTGGCACGGGTGGCACGGTCACATCTATAAGAGAGTAAAGTATGTCATGTTTCAGAACTCAACAAAAGAAAGAGAAACAGTGGATGATGAGTAGCCCCGCCATTCGACGCATTTCAGAATGCTTTGTGAAGCCTCGATCCTCCAACCAAATCTGCAATTTAACTCCTTGGGATATTGCTATGTTGTATACAAACTATATCAAGGAGTGTCTTCTCTTCAAGAAACCTGCGACCCTTATTGATGAACATCATTTCAAACAAAATCTGTTGGAGAAGCTCAAACACTCTCTTTCTCTTACCCTCTCCCATTTTTATCCTTTGTCCGGTCGCCTAGTCACCCACAAAACCCAAAACCCTCCCTCTTATACTGTTTCTATTGATTGCAACAACAGTGATGGAGCTAGATTCATTCATGCAACTCTGAATATGACTATAGCTGATATCCTCTCCCCCTTTGACGTCCCACCCATTTTTCAATCGTTCTTTGACCACCCCAAAGCACTCAACCATGACCATCACACCATGCCGCTGTTGTCCATCCAAGTCACTGAACTAGTGGACGGTGTTATCATAGGTTGTTCCATGAATCACGCTGTTGCTGATGGCACTTCGTATTGGAATTTCTTCAATACGTGGTCTCAGATCTTTCAAGCACAATCTCAATCTGAAAACCATGAATACGATGTTCCCATCTCACGCCAACCCATTCACAATCGTTGGTTTCCAAATAATTGTAGACCACCGATCTCTCTTCCTTACAAACAGCATGACGAGTTTATAGAGAGATCTGAAAGACCCCTCCTGAGGTGTAGATATTTCCACTTTTCAGCAGAGTCTATTTCGAAACTGAAAGCAAAGGCCAACTCAGAATCCAATACCACAGTAATCTCTTCCCTCCAGTCATTATCAGCACTCGTTTGGAGATCCATAACTCGTGCGCGCTCCCCACCTTCTGACCAGAAAACAACTTTCAGATTAGCCGCAGATTGTCGATCAAGAATGAAGCCGCCTTTGGCAGAAGAATACTTTGGAAACTGCCTTCATGTAGCGAGTGCAGAAGCGACAACAAAGGAATTACTTGAGAATGGTATAGGATGGGCAGCATGGAAGTTGCATGTGGCTGTTACAGACCTTAACGATAGAGTGGTGCTAGAATTTCTGGAAGGGTGGTTAGATTCTCCTTTCATAATTCAAATGGGTCGTTACTTTGACCCGTACAGCTCGTTGATGGTTGGTTCGCCCAGGTTCAATATGTATGGATGTGAATTTGGAATGGGGAAAGCGGTGGCTGCTAGAAGTGGTTCTGCAAACAAACTTGATGGGAAGGTGTCGTCATACCCAGGGCGTGAAGGAGGAGGAAGCATTGATTTGGAAGTTTGCCTTTCGCCACACACAATGAGTGCTTTGGAATCAGACGAAGAGTTCATGAATGCAGTTACTGAGTTTGATTCCCTGTTGTTCTAGTTTCCTAATACGCCTATTATGTTCACCACCTTCACTTGTTGATTCAATTAGTAATCAAATAAAGACAATTGAAATAAAGTGACGGAAAATATATGTGGGATCGAGTAGGACAAATATGTTACTGGATGGGCAATTTCTTAGCTCAAACCTTATGTGACGTTCTTTTATTGTAAGAAGATGCTCTGTGTTGTCGTATTCTAAAAGTAATTGAAAATTTCTTATTTCCGTTGGATAAGATAAGAGCAATTAGAGAAGGTTTAATCCTTTACTACATTCCTATTTATTTATGTACGAATTTTTTAATTGGGTCCTCGTTTTTTAAAGTGTATCAAAATGGTCCCTAATTTTGAAAATTGATATCAATTGAGTCCTTTCCGTTAAATTGGCTGGACGGCGTTAAAAAAATTGATGAGTGGATGCTGAGATGACAAACGAGCGTTCGTTCGCTGGTGGACGAGCGCTCGTTCGTCATCTCAGCATCCCACTCATCAATTTTTTTAACGCCGTCCAGCCAACTTAACGGAAAGGACTCAATTGATATCAATTTTCAAAATTAGGGACCATTTTGATACACTTTAAAAAACGAGGACCCAATTGAGAAATTCGTACATAAATAGGGATGTAGTAAAAGATTAAACCATTACAGAACAATGGCAATAAAATCTATATCAAATCTGTATTATCATCACTTGATTAAAAATAAATACAAGGTTTAAACTTTCATTTGGTCCTCGTATCAGTGTATCAATCTCAGGTGGATCATCGTTTTTTTTTCGGTCTCAATCTGTTCCATAAACTTATAAAAATGAACCAATTAAGCCTTCTCCGTTATCACTGACATCGTCTAACTGTGATGACGTGATGCACTCATATGTATACATCTTATATTACGTGGAATTTTTTATTTAATTTTCTATTAAGTCTTGTACAACTATATTATTTAATGGTTCGGATTAGGAATTTCTTCAGATTAAGATTAGGGTTCGTGTTCTGCCATGGTTGCAATGGATTGGGTCCAAACCATGGCAGAATCAAAGCCCCAATCCATTGCAATCATGGTAGAACGCGAACCCTAATCTCTTAATCTGAAGAAATTCCTAATCTGAACCATTAAATAATATAGTTGTACAAGACTTAATAACAAATTAAATAAAAAATTTCACGTAATATAAGATGTATGCATATGTATGCACCACAACATCACAGTTAGACGGTATCAGTGATAACTTAACAGAGAGGGCTTAATTGGCTCATTTTTACAAGTTTATGGATCCGATTGAGACTGAAAAATGCGATGATCCACACTTGAGATTGACATACAAATACGATGACCAAACAAGAGTTTAAACCTAAAAATAAATACAATATTCACTGTGACCAAATTTCAATCAATTAAAATGAAACACTTCTCACTACTTTTTGTTAGACCCTTAAAATTCTTATGATTAGAATGGCAAGGGGTTCAAGTATACTTTTGTCTTGTTTTTAGTGTGATAAGTAACATACATTTTTATTCTCATTTTAGGAAGAATGGATTTACTTTGGAAGAGGATCCAAATGCACAACTTCGATGCCGTTTTAAATTAAAGTGTGTTCCTTCCTTAAGAACACTATGTTTGGAATTGAACCAGGTGAAAGCAATGGAAGCAGGAAAGTTTATGAACAATAACTTGTATTGGACGTACTGTTGGAATCAAATTAAAGGAAATTTGAAAAAAGTGATGGTGGAGAAATGAGTTTAAGGGAAGTAGTTGAAGAAATGAAGTTGTTTTACTTGACAAAACAAGAAAATGCATAGTTATTGAACTTTAATTTTTGTTTGGAATTTTGTTTAGGTTATCAATATTAGTCTATATGTTTTCAATTAGTCGAGTTGTTTTTTATTATACTAGATGTTTCAGTGAATCTTGCAATATTCTTTAAATATTATGTGTATTTTTTTATATATTTACATTGTTAATGTAAATTAATGTACTTTATTTTAAATCATCAATAAAATTAATTTTAATTAATTTTTATATATTTTATTTATTTCTTATTATAAAAAAAATTAATTAAATTAAGAAATTATAAATGTAGGTGAATAATTATAAATAAAAAAGTTTTAAACTTTCACAAAATAATAATTACTAATAAAATCTCCGACATATACATCCCATACCAGATCATGAAAAACTTCCAGAAATCGATTGCAACAGCGACTCTAATTGTGAGGATTTAAAAAAAACTTCACAAAATAACAATTTTTTTATAATGACATTTAAATTATTTTTTTAATAAAAATATTTGAATAATAATATTTAAGAAATATATATAATAATAAATACTATGAATTTATATAATAAATATAAATTATTCATAAAACAATCCCACGTTAAGTTAAATAAGAGTAACAATAAAGAAAACAAACACTGAATAATTTAACTTTTTATACTCCTTAATTTTAAGACTTGTATAAAATTTAATCTTTACATTAATTATTTATATTGAACTTCCCTAATGGTATCAGAATCCATGGTTCAGATTTGGTGACCGATCTCAAACGAGTACGTCCCTCCATGATATGGTGAAGCCTTAGCAGGAGACCAGTGGCAGATAGCCAGATGTATCATGAGAGGTAGAGAGCAAAAGATGCTCAGTGTTTGACCATGGATCGTGAAAGAGAGTAGAGAGAAGTGGTGACCAAGGTGTACTCAAAGATAAGAAAAGACTTTCGCTGTAGAGGAGGTGGAGGTGAAGAACCATAGTCCTTTGTTTGAAAAGAGGATTGTTGGATACAAACAAAGTCCCACAATGAGATAAAATAAGAAATGGAGATGAGTTTATATATACATAAAATACATCCATTAATAAGAGGTCTTTTGAAGTGGTACCAAAAGCAAATATGTGAGAACATGAATCTCCCTACAAATAAAAAAACCTAAAGAAAAGTATTCAGGTGTTCCTTGATTTATCATTCATAGTTAAAATATTCTATTGCTCTTTTATAGTATTTGCTGCCAATACAGTGAAATCCTTTTATAAATATTAGGCTTAATACCCTATTTTGTCCCTAGTTTCGCCCGACAATGTCAAATTAGTCCATCCTTTAAAAAGTGCGTCAATTACGTCCTTACTTAATAAAATTTATATCAATAAAATCCCTTCCATTAAATCCGTACAAACAACGTTAATTATTTCTCTCTCTCTTCTATTAACGTTGTTTGTACGGATTTAACGGAAGATATTTTATTAATATAAATTTTATTAAGTAAGGACGTAATTGACGCACTTTTTAAAGGATGGACTAATTTGACATTATCGAACGAAATTGGAGACAAAATAGGATATTAAGCCTAAATATTAAATCTTGTTTAATTGTGCGCATAACATCAACACTTTAACTCAAATAACAACAACATAAGAATTCATAATACATATTAGGGTTAAATATGTTTTTAGTCCCTAAACTATTGGCCATTTCTGGTTTTCGTCCCTCTTCCAAAGTAAGGTACACTTTAGTCCTCATACTTTTCGAAACTTTGGTTTTAGTCCTCCAAAACTAACACCGTGAAAAATATGATGATGTGTCTAACGTCTCTTTCCACGTGTTCTAACGTCTCTTTCCAAGTGTTTAAACAGCTAAAATGCAAAGTTAATCCAACGTTCGTAAAGTTTGGTTTATTAGTTTCATTGCAAAGTGTTGTCTGAAGGATTTGAGAAAAGACAAAGTGGAAAGAAGGTTCAAGCTTGGATATCACCTTCTTGGGCGTTGGTGGAGTTGGGCACGTAAGTTCACATTTGTCTTTGTTTTGGTTTAAAATGATGGATGGATTTGGGGATGTAGGGTTTTGTTGAAGGGTTCTGGTTTCGAACTTGAGTTTCTTT